CTACTACTACTACTACTACTACTACTACTACTACTACTACTACTACTTCTACTACTACTGCTACTGCTACTGCTACTGCTACTGCTACTGCTACTGCTACTGCTACTACTACTACTACTACTACTACTACTACTACTACTACTACTACTACTACATCATAATCTTTTATTTAAAAAAACAACCAAAACAACATAACAGATATAACGATGATGACCATCATCATCGTGGCACAACATTATAATAACCCTTCATTATCGTACATTATCACCATAGTGGTCGTCTTTTAGAATAACACTTTTCTAATCATCGGTATTTATATGACTTATTTGTGTTACGAGTGCTGTAAAATTCTTACCGAGTAAAACTAAAGTAAACATACAGAAAATATTTCCTCTTTGTTGATACCCACGTATATAATTTAATGAGGTCAATAACTGGAACGTGTTGCGGTGATCGGCCAGGGTGACACGTCTTTTCCAGCCAAGACAATTCTCCACACTGAGAGAAATTCTCATAAATTATCATGAATATTAGTTCCGGGCGTGATGTGGCTTTCAATTACGGAGCAAAATAATGTTTTGTTTATTTATGAGTCTGACATGTAATGTAAATTAACTTTCATAACTGTTGTCAATGCTTGACTAACACCCCTCAGCGACACAATCTAGGTATGATCGATTCTGCTCCAACGGCCAGCTTACATGCCTAAATCTGCACCGGTACTAAAAATTATTTCCTACTTCCCTCCTCGCACTTTAAAAGCAATACTGTCGACTGCGGATGCGTTGATGTCGTTGGAGGAAGGGAAAAAACAGATCAGCTCATCCGAAATTTAACTTACCCGTTGGGACCTGTAAAGAAGAAGAGGTGCTGGGACCCGAGAAACGAGAAAAGGATCAACTTAACCAAAGATCAACTCAAGCGAGTTCGACAGAGGTGGAGTTGACTATATATAATGACAGTATCCAGAACCATCTGTTTAAGATGACAACTTATCTCCTCAACAATGGGAAGTCCTCTTAGGCAGGTTCTACTGTAGTTAAAAATCGTTAATAACAGGCACGGGTTTGATCCGTTCTGATTGTCGTGGCCATACCCCCAAAGAAAGACAGATTAGATAGTCTTTCACGATTTTGAATCGAACTGGCGTCTTTTGAGCTATAAATGAGGAGTCTAGCCGTAACTCCGTAGAAGCTGGACCGTTGCGACACAATTATTATGCCTCTTATCAGTGGATTGAATAACAATAAACCTTGACCAGTGCTGCTTGAGCAACAACAAAAGCAACAACAACAACAACAACAACAACAACAACTACTACTACTACTACTACTACTACTACTTTTACTACTACTACTACTACTACTACTACTACTACTACTACTACTACTACTACTACCACCACCACTGTCACTACCACTGCCTTTTGTCACTACCATTGCCACCACCACTACCACTGCCACAGTTACTCTTCCTCATCCTGCTGCTGCTACGACTACGTACATGTTGCTTTATTTTAATTTCATCCCTCTAGCCGCATAGCCTTCTTAATCGAGTCACATATTTCTCTTTTGTCACGCTAGAGGAAGTTAAAATCACTTTTTTTTAAAAACAACAAAGAAAAGAAACTGTGTACACGTGTGGTAATTATTGTTATTCCTGTTATGTGCTCGCATTCAATACAAACCGTATTGTTCATAGACACAGTAATGGTATAAGATAAGGTAAGATAATACTTTATTATCCCAGAGGGAAATTTTTCTTGGCTGTAGAGGACCGTAAAAACACAATAATGAAGGTATACATAAAATTATATATTACTCTCATTAAAATTCAATATAATAAGGGCGATGGTATATATTTTATCAGCTCTTTAAAGAAAGAAAAAGAAAAGAAAGGGGAAAAAATAAATTTCAGATATTTGGAAACTGGGGGAGAAGAGGTGTGGAAAGATAAGGAGAGAGATGGGAATTGGAGAATAGGCCCACATAGCCTGCTACTTGCCTATTGCTCACTTAGTGCGACTTATCATTTATGATCGAATCAGTACATAACGGTCAATGAAGATGACAGAACAGTGAACGTTATGAACATATAAAAATATATGGTCGCTATATTCAGGTTCTTAGTTAAGGTCACTTACTAGACTTGACAAAATCAACAGGTACGGTTTGAAATTAAAATCGGAAATCTTAATTCTATCTCTCTTATTATTCCTGTCACAAATTTTAAAAAAATATTTTTTAAGAGGGTTTTTTTTTTCCCAGTGTCAGAATGTAATACCCACCCTGAATTGAGGACAGGTTGGTGTACACTTTTTTTTAAATAGGCCTATTTTTGACTGCTATAGGCAGGTTTTGAGGCTGACTTGTCATGAAAGTGACTGACCGTGGTGTATTTGCCACTTTGGACAGGGGCCGCTCTTTAGTGGAGGCTATTTGAAATATAATATTAAGAAAACGTCAGGGTGTCACTTTGTCAATTTATCAGTTTAATATCTATACATTTATCTGCATCTATTTAAAAAAATTTTTTTTTAAATTCAATAAACTGGTACTTTGGTACTATATTTTGACTTATATGACTCAGATAGATCAACCAAACAACTTTAATCCCGTAAGTTACTTCCAGTTAATCGTTGGTGTCGTGAAAATAAGCGGTGACCTAAGACGCTTAAAAACGGATATTCCCGGAGACTAAATATATCTTTGAATTTAATTATAGATTATAGTATTTATAGCTGCTTGCGTCCCCATTTTGTCAACTTATGACTATTTATAGCACACCACGCGAAAAAAGGCCAACGTGGAGCGAACCAAACAACACAATAACGTGAAGTCCGAAACAAGGTGTAAAATGTGTTCGTGTTCTTTTTCCCTCTGTATTTAAAGCTTCATCAGCGCAATGATCAGTACACACTTAAGGGATCATATCTCCTGAACACTGAACACAAGCGGTAAAAACGGGAAAAGGTATTGGAATCGACTATACACAATTGCAGGTAGGCTTACGTTTTATCATATTTTATACCCTTAATAATAATTAGGGGGCTCTCGTAGCCTAGAGGTTAAGGTGGTCTCTCATTCAAAGGTCCCGGGTTCGAATCCGGGTGCCGACCGAAGCATTAAGATTTTCTTCTCTAAAATTGTCTCCTTCCACCTTCTCTCCTGCTTTCTAGCAATGTGTTGTTGTCTGCTTTCGTCTCCCCTTTCTGCCTCCACCCCCTCACCTCATTTCCCCCTCCTCTGGGCTCCTGACTCTTTCTAGTTTCTGCAGCCTTTCTACTGTACTGTTACTCCTTGGCTCCTTCTTAGTCTCACTGCTGTCTTTCAGCCACACCCCTGATCTTTTGGTAGGAAAGATCTAGCCTTCTCGGACAAGGGCGAAAAATCTCGGAGGGCCCGTGTGCAAGTTGCGCACGTTAAAGATCCCGTGGTGGTCAAAAATCGATAAGAAGAGAAGGTTTCGGCCGCCACCAGGGCCAAATTAAAAATTTCCTATCAACTGAAAAAGTTTAATGTGTCCCGCGCACTCGTATGACCTTATGCAGTTGCGAGCGCCGTAAAACACTTACCATCATCATTAGTACACGCACCCACGAAACGCACGCATGGACACAGGCATGCACACACACACACACACACACACATACTGAGAGAGAGAGAGAGAGAGAGAGAGAGAGAGAGAGGGAGAGAGACTCTGGGAGCAATAGACTCTGAGAAAGAGAAAGAGAGAGAGAATACACACTCAC